TATATGATAGTGAGCTACTCTGAAGGTCTTTACAGACCTTTTGTAGTTAAATGATGGTGAGCTACTCTTAAAGTCTTTACAAACCTATTGTAGTTAAATGATAGTGAGCTACTCTTAAAGTCTTTACAGACTTATTGTAGTTATATGATGGTGAGCTACTCTTAAAGTCTTTATGGACCTATTGTAGTTAAATGATAGTGAGCTACTCTTAAAGTCTTTACAGACCTATTGTAGTTATATGATAGTGAGCTACTCTTAAAGTCTTTACAGACCTATTATAGTTAAATGATGGTGAGCTACTCTTAAAGTCTTTACAGACCTATTGTAGTTAAATGATAGTGAGCTACTCTTAAAGTCTTTACAGACCTATTGTAGTTAAATGATAGTGAGCTACCCTTAAAGTCTTTACAGACCTATTGTAGTTAAATGATGGTGAGCTACTCTTAAAGTCTTTACAGACCTATTGTAGTTACATAATAGTGAGCTACTCTTAAAGTCTTTACAGACCTATTGTAGTTATATGATAGTGAGCTACTCTTAAAGTCTTTACAGACCTATTGTAGTTATATGATAGTGAGCTTCTCTTAAAGTCTTTACAGACCTATTATAGTTAAATGATGGTGAGCTACTCTTAAAGTCTTTACAGACTATTGTAGTTAAATAATAGTGAGCTGTTCTTAAAGTCGTACAGACCTATTGTAGTTAAATGATGGTGAGATACTCTTAAAGTCTTTACAGACCTATTGGAGTTAAATGATAGTGAGCTACCCTTAAAGTCTTTACAGACCTGTTGTAGTTATTTGATGGTGAGCTACTCTTAAAGTCATTACAGACCTATTGTAGTTATATGATAGTGAGCTACTCTTAAAGTCTTTACAGACCTATTGTAGTTAAGTGATAGTGAGCTACTCTTAAAGTCTTTACAGACCTATTGTAGTTATATGATGGTGAGCTACTCTTAAAGTCTTTACATACCTTTTGTAGTTATAGTGATAGTGAGCTACTCATAAAGTCTTTACAGACCTATTGTAGTTAAATGATGGTGAGCTACTCTTAAAGTCTTTACAGACTATTGTAGTTAAATGATAGTGAGCTACTCTTAAAGTCTTTACAGACCTATTGTAGTTAAGTGATAGTGAGCTACTCTTAAAGTCTTTACAGACCTATTGTAGTTATATGATGGTGAGCTACTCTTAAAGTCTTTACATACCTTTTGTAGTTATAGTGATAGTGAGCTACTCATAAAGTCTTTACAGACCTATTGTAGTTAAATGATGGTGAGCTACTCTTAAAGTCTTTACAGACCTATTGTAGCTATATGATAGTGAGCTACTCTTAAAGTCTTTACAGACCTATTATAGTTAAATGATGGTGAGCTACTCTTTAAGTGTTTACAGACTATTGTAGTTAAATAATAGTGAGCTACTCTTAAAGTCTTTATGGACCTATTGTAGTTAAATGATAGTGAGCTAATCTTAAAGTCTTTACAGACCTATTGTAGTTATATGATAGTGAGCTACTCTGAAGGTCTTTACAGACCTTTTGTAGTTAAATGATGGTGAGCTACTCTTAAAGTCTTTACAAACCTATTGTAGTTAAATGATAGTGAGCTACTCTTAAAGTCTTTACAGACTTATTGTAGTTATATGATGGTGAGCTACTCTTAAAGTCTTTATGGACCTATTGTAGTTAAATGATAGTGAGCTACGCTTAAAGTCTTTACAGACCTATTGTAGTTATATGATAGTGAGCTACTCTGAAGGTCTTTACAGACCTTTTGTAGTTAAATGATGGTGAGCTACTCTTAAAGTCTTTACAAACCTATTGTAGTTAAATGATAGTGAGCTACTCTTAAAGTCTTTACAGACTTATTGTAGTTATATGATGGTGAGCTACTCTTAAAGTCTTTATGGACCTATTGTAGTTAAATGATAGTGAGCTACTCTTAAAGTCTTTACAGACCTATTGTAGTTATATGATAGTGAGCTACTCTTAAAGTCTTTACAGACCTATTATAGTTAAATGATGGTGAGCTACTCTTAAAGTCTTTACAGACCTATTGTAGTTAAATGATAGTGAGCTACTCTTAAAGTCTTTACAGACCTATTGTAGTTAAATGATAGTGAGCTACCCTTAAAGTCTTTACAGACCTATTGTAGTTATATGATGGTGAGCTACTCTTAAAGTCTTTACAGACCTATTGTAGTTACATAATAGTGAACTACTCTTAAAGTCTTTACAGACCTATTGTAGTTATATGATAGTGAGCTACTCTTAAAGTCTTTACAGACCTATTGTAGTTATATGATAGTGAGCTTCTCTTAAAGTCTTTACAGACCTATTATAGTTAAATGATGGTGAGCTACTCTTAAAGTCTTTACAGACTATTGTAGTTAAATAATAGTGAGCTGTTCTTAAAGTCGTACAGACCTATTGTAGTTAAATGATGGTGAGATACTCTTAAAGTCTTTACAGACCTATTGGAGTTAAATGATAGTGAGCTACCCTTAAAGTCTTTACAGACCTGTTGTAGTTATTTGATGGTGAGCTACTCTTAAAGTCATTACAGACCTATTGTAGTTATATGATGGTGAGCTGCTCTTAAAGTCTTTACAGACCTATTGTAGTTATATGATAGTGAGCTTCTCTTAAAGTCTTTACAGACCTATTATAGTTAAATGATGGTGAGCTACTCTTGAAATCTTTACAGACTATTGTAGTTAAATAATAGTGAGCTACTCTTAAAGTCTTTACAGACCTATTGTAGTTAAATGATAGTGAGCTACTCTTAAAGTCTTTACAGACCTATTGTAGATAAATGATGGTGAGCTACTCTTAAAGTCTTTACAGACCTTTTGTAGTTATAGTGATAGTGAGCTACTCATAAAGTTTTTACAGACCTATTGTAGTTAAATGATAGTGAGCTACTCTTAAAGTCTTTACAGACCTATTGTAGCTATATGATAGTGAGCTACTCTTAAAGTCTTTACAGACCTATTATAGTTAAATGATGGTGAGCTACTCTTTAAGTCTTTACAGACTTTTGTAGTTAAATAATAGTGAGCTTCTCTTAAAGTCTTTACAGACCTATTGTAGTTAAATGATAGTGAGCTACTCTTAAAGTCTTTACAGACCTATTGTAGTTAAATGATTGTGAGCTTCTCTTAAAGTCTTTACAGACCTATTGTAGTTAAATAATAGTGAGCTACTCTTAAAGTCTTTATATATATACAGACCTATTGTAGTTAAATGATAGTGAGCTACTCATAAGTCTTTACAGACCTATTGTAGTTAAATCATAGGGAGCTACTCTTAAAGTCTTTACAGACCTTTTCTAGTTAAATGATGGTGAGCTACTCTTAAAGTCTTTACAGACCTATTGTAGTTAAATAATAGTGAGCTACTCTTAAAGTCTTTATATATATACAGACCTATTCTAGTTAAATGATGGTGAGCTACTCTTAAAGTCTTTACAGACCTTTTGTAGTTAAATAATAGTGAGCTACTCTTAAAGTCTTTACAGACCTATTGTAGTTAAATGATAGTGAGCTACTCTTAAAGTCTTTACAGACTTATTGTAGTTATATGATGGTGAGCTACTCTTAAAGTCTTTACAGACCTATTGTAGTTATATGATAATGAGCTTCTCTTAAAGTCTTTACAGACCTATTATAGTTAAATGATGGTGAGCTACTCTTAAAGTCTTTACAGACTATTGTAGTTAAATAATAGTGAGCTGTTCTTAAAGTCGTACAGACCTATTGTAGTTAAATGATGGTGAGATACTCTTAAAGTCTTTACAGACCTATTGGAGTTAAATGATAGTGAGCTACCCTTAAAGTCTTTACAGACCTGTTGTAGTTATTTGATGGTGAGCTACTCTTAAAGTCATTACAGACCTATTGTAGTTATATGATGGTGAGCTGCTCTTAAAGTCTTTACAGACCTATTGTAGTTATATGATAGTGAGCTTCTCTTAAAGTCTTTACAGACCTATTATAGTTAAATGATGGTGAGCTACTCTTGAAATCTTTACAGACTATTGTAGTTAAATAATAGTGAGCTACTCTTAAAGTCTTTACAGACCTATTATAGTTAAATAATAGTGAGCTACTCTTAAAGTCTTTACAGACCTATTGTAGTTAAATGATAGTGAGCTACTCTTAAAGTCTTTACAGACCTATTGTAGTTAAATAATAGTGAGCTACTCTTAAAGTCTTTACAGACCTATTGTAGTTAAATGATAGTGAGCTACTCTTAAAGTCTTTACAGACCTATTGTAGTTAAATAATAGTGAGCTACTCTTAAAGTCTTTACAGACCTATTGTAGTTAAATGATAGTGAGCTACTCTTAAAGTCTTTACAGACCTATTGTAGTTAAATGATAGTGAGCTACTCTTAAAGTCTTTACAGACCTATTGTAGTTATATGATGGTGAGCTACTCTTAAAGTCTTTACAGACTTATTGTAGTTATATAATAATGAGCTACTCTTAAAGTCTTTACAGACCTTTTGTAGTTAAATACATTGTAATAGTGAGCTACTCTTAAAGTCTTGACAGACTATTATAGTTAATTAATTGTAAAAGACAAGATTCATCAAACCTAGGTTACATATAGTGGCTCTGTTATTTATATGTTTCATGCAAACAATAAGGATTGAATGAACTTATTGACTATATATCTATATATATTTTCAGGTGATATTCAGATACCTGTGCTTTTGACTGTTTTTTATGTATGTTTTCAGGTGATTTTAGGAATTTATGTACCTTGACTGTTTATCTGTATATATTTTCAGGTGATTTACGGATTCCTATGCCTTTGACTGTTTTTTTATATATGTTTTCAGGTGATTTTAGGATTTATGTACCTTGACTCATCTATATATATTTTCAAGTGATTTATGGATTCGTGCGCCTTTGACTGTTTACCTATTTATATTTTCAGGTGATTTATGGATTCATGCACCTTTGACTGTTTACCTATTAATATTTTCAGGAGATTTACGGATTCGTGTGCCTTTGACCAACCAGGAAGTTACACAAGGAGAAACTGTAAAATTTGTGTGTGATGTAGTAACAAGCCCAGGGGAAACAGATAAAGTCTTCATTCGATGGAAATTTAATGAAGAAGTTATAAAACCTAGTAAATCTAGTAGATTCAACATTTTAGGAGATGGTCAGACTTTGAAGATACAGAATGCTCACAAAACTGAACAAGGGGATTATACGTGTATAGCATCAATACGCAAAATGAAAGACAGATCAACAGCAAGGCTTATTATAAAAAGTAGGTGTAATTGTCAAATATGTTTGTAAGGCATGTATCAAAATGTGAGATGCAGAAAGAAAGATATATATATATGATGCAGTCGTTCACACTCAAGGTCAATCAAGGTCTAGAGATCATTGCACATTCAACAAGCAGCCGTCTATTATGTTTGAAAACCTCTGAAATGCCACCTTCAATGAATTGGAAGCACTTTTTATAACTGCACCTAGGTTTAAAAATGTATCTATAAACTTCTCAGAAAAAATCTTTGGATATTTGTGAATGATTGTGGCCAACATGTACTGTGAGTACTCTCAGAATGCTCCCTTGTGTTTAAAGTCTTTTTGTTAGTTGTTTTTTGTATGCTTTGTGTCAATTTGATAAGTCAAGCCTTTTTTAATTGATTTATATAGTTTGTTCATATGTTGTGCTGTTACACCACTGTTCCAAGTTAGGGGAAGGGTTAGATGACCGCAAATATGTTTAACCCCACCACATTCTGTATGTGCTTGTCTCAAGTCTGGAGCTTGTAATTAAGTGTTAATCGTTTTGTTGCTGTTTGTCTTATTTGTTTTTTTACATAAATCAGGTTTTAAGTTTTCTGGTTTGAATTGTTTTACATTTGTAATGTTGGGACCTTTCATAGCTTGTTTTATAATGGTATGGGTTTTCCTCATTGTTGAAGGCTGTACAGTGACCTATAGTTGCTAACTTCTACTTCATTTGATCTCTGATGCTACTTTAAACATATGTTGTCATAAGTAAAAGAAGGCTTGGCCCTGAAATTTGGTGAAAAGGCTATTTGAGCTTGAATGTGACAGTTTTACATTGTATTAGGTGAGTTTTATGAAATTTAAAAATTCAACATAACGGAAAAGTTTCAAAAAGTATGTTATACACCACAAAATGAAATATCAATTTGTATTTAATGGATAGAGGCCTTTGAGACAGCACCCCAACATCATTCATGTGAACAACTACACAAAAAACTGCCCTATGTTTTCTCTTGGATACATTTTTGTGTTTTATTGAGAGGCTTCAGATTTTTTATAATCTTAAATAGTGATGCATTTTATGATAAAAGTAGATTTTATAATTAGAAAAATAATCAAAATTATTAATTTCTATTAATAAAACAGAAGATATTGATGCAGTACTAATTTGTTATTACATAATTTTCATGGATGACATTGCTGTAAAGACTTTTAGCTGAATGCTGATTTTGTTTCAAGTTGATCTAGAATTGTACATGCAGGAAATTACATGTAAAAAATTATTGACAGAAAGCTGACTTCTTTCACTCTCGAGAAGTTTTTATAAAAGAATGCTGACAACCAAATTTGAAACTACTTGAAGTTGTTACATTTTTCTGTCAATGACTTATAAGAAAAATGTTATCCATTATGCAGACTTAGTCAACAGTTAATACAGCAACTAATGGTCTTCTAGTGAAATAGGAAATTCAGACAAGAACCATTTTCACTTAATGCCATGTGTTAAGTACCACACATCATAAACATTTTATTGCCAGGTTTTAAAAGCTTTTAAAAAATAGTGCAAAGTTTTTTTTATGTAGGATAATGATTCTTTTATGTGTCTAAGTGTTATAAAAACTGGTTGTTAATTCCCTAGAGTGAAAGCCACCGTTAAATTGATCTATCTTTGAAAGGTTAAATGCAAAATAAAAATGGATTAGCAATTCTATTCACAATTTAGAATGCACTGTATAGATACTAGAACAAATTTTCATGTCAGAGATTCTTTTGAAGTTTATTTTCTATCCATTATTAGAACATTTGCACCTTCTATTTCATTTAAATTCGGCAGGATTTTTCAATAGCTAGGTCAACAAATTTGTGCAAATAAATGATTTACAGTAAAATTATAGCTAAATTTCCCAGACAGGAGACAAAAGATTTCTGATTATCATGTTGAACAAAAAAGGTTTAAAAACATCTGATGCTATAGATCTTTTCAAAAATATTGATTCAAGGCATTTGACTCTGGCACAAATATTTATTACAGTTTACAAATTTAAGTGCAGTCATTTTGATAAAATCTCATTGCAAGAAAAGAAATGTTTCAATTTTAGAGAATGTCTTCATTAATTTTTCAGAATCAGTGATAAATTTAACTCTTCGCCAATTTATTTCAACAAGTGTCAATCAACAAAGATGGGTTACATTTTGAAAATCTCCTCATTTCATTTTGATTGGTTGTAATTTGAATTTTGTTTCTTAAAAGCCATACCATGCTGTCTTTTTTTTTTAGAATCATGTTTGATTCATCACAAACTTGGAATGAGTCACTCTCAACAATTTCCTAAATTGTAGAATTTAAGGACAAGAAGGGCATTAAATGGTTTTGAATGGTCTTAAAATGTATTATAGTTCTCCTCAGGTCTCATCTCAGCATCACCTCTTACAATTTTATGTTGTGTAATTACTCAGAGTTTAATTCGCCATTGCTCCTGACAGAGTTAAACAAAGGATCTCTGAACTTATTATTGATTTCTGCAGTTTTTACTACTTTTTAATTTATTATTTAACAATCATGTCAATTGTTTTGGTCTGTTCTGTTTTTTTCGCTCTGTCATTAGGTTTTACCATTGTCAATTCTTGTCAGATTCTGAGCATTTTTGTTCAATTATATCAAGGAAAACAGTTGTTTGATGCAATTTTGATATTGTTTCCCACGACAATATGACAATTTCCAAGCTTTGACCATTAAACTCACACTGTACAACAAGACAAAGTTACCATCAATTTTCCTGATTATTTTATTGCACTATGCAAAAGTAAAGACAGTTCAGAAATATGATATAAAATTAATAGTGGTTACTTAGCTGGAAGTTGGCATAAGTTATCAATTAAAAATGTTCCATTGAATAAACTTATAAATGAAACAAATTAAGTAGTCAGTTGACATTTTTTTCAAGAATAAACAATGAAGTTGGAAATTAGCAGCTGTAATAAATGTTCAATTAAAAAAATGTTCTCAAGATTATAATAAGAAATAAAACAAAGTAGCCAGTTGAAAATGTTCTCCAGAATAAACTGGTTTAAATAATAATAATAATAATAAATTCTTTATTTAAAGAGGATAAACACAGTTAGTTACAATTACTAATCTTCCCTGTGGCCCTCATATACAATACAAGAAAAAAAGCAAACATACAACATATTAACACATAATCAGTTCACAATCGTATAGTCATGATAGTTCAGTGTACATGTACCATTAGAACATATAAAACAGATACAGAGTGCATGTAGTAAATAGATATTATATAAAAATCAAAATCATACATTCTAAAAAAGTAATAGTTGCAATCATTTCAAGACTGAATATTGGGACTGCCTCAAGTATCGTTTTGTAATTTGTTTAAAACAAAAAGTGTTTTGCACTTTACGCATTTCATATGGTAGTCCGTTCCATAAAACTGATCCAGAATAAGCAAAAGATTTTTTAAACAGTTCAGTTTTTGGCTTAGGAACTATCAAATTACCTTGAGTAACACACCTTAAAGCATAAGGATTATTAACAGATACAAGTTGAAACTTTTGAAGTAGGTACTGTGGTGCTTTTTTCCACATACATTTATATAGCAGTAAATATTTGCGATATTTGATTCTTATTTAAACTGACATCCATCCAAGTTCTTTTTAATAAGGGGGCTGATGGGGATAAAGGGTCTGCATCAAGAATTAATCTTGCTGCTCTTTTTTGAAGTTTAAATATTCTTATTATCCCTTCATTTTTACATTCTCCCCAAACTATACAGCAGTAATCGATGAGCGGCAGACTATACCCATTATAATATGCTTTCCTGGCATTGATATCTAAAAATTTCTTTAATTTAAAAAGAAGGTATATTCTTGATGAAATGCTAGCACAAATTTGATCAATTTGATTTGTCCAGCTAAGTGTGCTGTCAATTTTAACACCTAATAATTTTTCAAATGATGAATTTTGTAGTGATTCTGAATTTATTTGTAAATTTGGTTGAAAAGATTGAGTTGATAACTTCTGACTTGTTCCAGTAACCAAACATTTTGTTTTTTTTAGTATTGATGAACATATTATTCATTTTGCACCATTCTTCAACTCTTCATAAATCTTCTTGTACATCATCATGTAAATTTTAATACAGAAAATGAAAATGAAAAATGAAGCAATCATATAAAATTCTCTAAATAAGGTAAAACATTTAAAATATATGAGAAATGACAATTACTGTAATACTGATAGGTTCCTGACTTGGGAAAGGCTCATGAACATTTTGCTGGGTCACAATATCTCTTTAAACTGATCTTTTAGTAAATTTGTATAGCCTATTGTTTATAGTGCAAGCTTGTTAGTATAATGCAAGTGAAGTGTAACAAAAGTATCTTCACATTACAATGATGAATTTTATGACTTATTTTGTGTGTTGTAGCAACTCCTTCACCACCAAAGAATATAGAGTTGGTGACATGTATGGGTCACAAAGCTGACCTGGTATGGGAGGATGGGGAGGATGGTGGTGATGTTATTAAAGGTTATCTAGTGCAATATAACACATCAGTTAATCCAAATTATTGGAATCATAACTATGAAGAGATTTCAAAGTCAGCACCAGAGCCAAGAACTATAGATTTGTCTCCTTGGGGGACTTACTCCTTCCGTGTTTTAGCTAGAAACTCTATAGGATACAGTGAGCCAAGTTTACCTACAAAAAGTGAGTGTCGGATTCCTCCAGGTCATCCAGATGGAAATCCTGAAAAAGTGGGAACAAAAACCGATAAAAAATATAAACTTGTCATCACTTGGGAGGTATGTATATTTAATTAATTACAATACAGGGCAAACATTGTTACAAAACAAAAACATTGCCAGTATATGCCGTTGCAGTAGTAGAAGCCCTAACTCTAACTCTGAATATAAAAATAAGGAGATGTGGTATGATTGCCAATGAGACAACTATCCACCAAAGTTCAAATGAAGTGGATGTAAGCAATAATAGGCCACCGTATGGTCTTCAACAATGAGAAAAACCCATACTGTATAATCAACTATAAAAGGCCCTGACATGAAAAATATGAAACAATTCAAAATGATAATAAAAGTTTGTACTCTTTTATCTTATTTATCTATAAATAATATAAGCAGTCTATAAGTATAAATGGTCAACTTCAAAGTTTTATTATCATAGATTTATTATTGTCGTGGTAAACATTGTATCACTTCTCTTTACAAGGGATAAGATTTTTTTTTTAGCTTTACATTCATTATACAGATAGTGGAAGACTTTGCCAGAAAACGATAATCCAGTTAATAGTTAATGTTCCATTTTTCTAGTATGAAAGGAAAAAAAAGAAACATGCCACTAATCAATGGTATTGTGTTAAAATATTATGCTTATGCAACAAAGTCAAATTTACAAAGCCCAATCATCTCTCTTAACTCCATATTAAAGTATTTTTTGGTGGGCTAGTCCCAAAAGCACACTTATTAAAAAAAAACATCCGCTGTCACCGACAGATAGCACCTGCACTAGGCTAAAAGGAATAAATAATTGTAAATTCATTTTTGATCACAAAAAAATGCATATAGTAAAAAAATCTGTCTCTGTGTTAATCATGTTTATAAGCATGAAACAAGTATGAATTGTCAGGTTATTTTTCATAATGACAGGAAATAGTAAAAGGCTGTAATTTCCTGAGTAAAGGAACAATCATTTGTGATTAAATTGATTTTTGCGCAGCCTGGTACACTGCTGCATACAGATTTCTTCACGTTCCATTGCATGTTTGAGATGAATAGATTTTAACAAGAATACCAAATTAGCATGCCCTATAGGATTTATTTGCGATAAGCTATATTTGCATGCTAGACTTAAAAAGTTTGGACTAATCAAATTTCTCATATTTGATATGTCAACTCACACAAAAATTCATTCTTTTTTAGTGTCATGATTGTATAAAAGGAATGTTACTTGGAAAATGTCGCTGAGTTTGTATTTTGTAATTTGGCAGAACTGATCAACAATTATGAAACGTGTCATGTTGCTTCATTCTTGCTAACCTAGTTTTTATCTTTCTATGTAGAAAAGGAGATATTACGAGATATTATTAGGAACGGCAGATTAAAACCTGGTGTTATTTGCATATAAAGCACAATAGAATTGGTTATATAGAAAGATCATTTCAAAAATAATTACTTAAATCTAATTCATGTTGCCTTAGAGAGAAATATTTTGTGTAATAGTGCACAATTTCTAGTTACGAGCCCTGGGGGTGTTAAAAAGAGGTTTATAATGGCTCTTAGAATAGCACCTTCCATGTTGACATGCTGAGTAAAGGGATTTTATAACAATTTTAAAGATCCATTCATCATAATCGGTTTTAAGTATTTCAAAAATAAAATGTAATATTGATTGTGACGAAGAAAATAATTCATCATTTTATGTTACCCTAAGAAATTTAGAAATGTTAGAGATGATTTTGTATAGAAATTAAACTATTCTTTCAGGTTCAGAAAATAAAACTTTCCACAAAGAATTTTTTTTATTCTGCATTAGTTATATATCCTTAATCAGAATCAAGTTGACCTTTAGATGTCTTTTGGTTATTTGTGCTGTTTGTTTGCTGCCTCAATGACACACATTCCTCATTTCCCTTTACTCATATGTCTTGTGCTTTAACAAGTAGAGAATACATGAGACTGACAGAAATTATTTTACAACCATCAAATTCTCAGTGGATGTGTAAGAAATACATATTTTATCAAATGTTTGATGAGAAAACAGTTTTTAAACCTTTTACATCAACTTTAAGGATATTGAGGGAGACTCCATGGTCAATGAAAAGTACAATTAACTTCCTTTACAACAACTTTAGAGATATTCTACAAGCCTCCATAGTTGGCAATTGAATTCAGTAAACTTTCTTCCATTTTCATTTTTCTCAAGGTAGAAGTAACTTTTACCTTTTGAGCTAATACATAAAAATCATACTACGGTTTTATTTTTTTTATCAAAATTTTAGATTACAATCTTTCTTATTTGGAACAAATTGTTTTTTTCTTTCAGAGGTCTTATCATATTCCAGTAGGGAGTGTGCAGTGTACTAGTAAGGGTAAGAAGATGTGTTGAACAGACGCAGAAAATGTTTGTTCTTTGAATTGGCTTCTCATGTTTAATTGATGTGTGCAGTTATTGATTCAGTATAATTTTTTAGTTTATAAATGTGACCTTTGATCTTTGTTTTCAGCCTACACTTAAGTTAGAAGAAAATGGTCAAAGTTTCATAGATTCAGTTAGTTTTAGTTTATACATGTGACCTTTATTTTTCAGCCTATGCCTAGATTAGAACACAACAAACAGTCCAGGTTTCATTGATTCAGTATAGGTTTAGTTTATACATGTGACCTTTATTTTTCAGCCTATGCCTAGATTAGAACACATCGGTCCAGGTTTCATTGATTCAGTATAGGTTTAGTTTATACATGTGACCTTTATTTTTCAGCCTATGCCTAGATTAGAACACATCGGTCCAGGTTTCATTGATTCAGTATAGGTTTAGTTTATACATGTGACCTTTATTTTTCAGCCTATGACTAGATTAGAACACATCGGTCCAGGTTTCATTGATTCAGTATAGGTTTAGTTTATACATGTAACCTTTGTTTTTCAGCCTATGCCTAGATTAGAACACAACGGTCCAGGTTTTCGTTATCACGTATTCTGGCGACCTAAAGGTAGTACCTACTGGAAGAACATGACAGTCTGGGACGAGAATGCAGATGAGTTAGAGTTAGATGTAAATGATATATATGGATTATATGAAGTTAAAGTGAAAGCTGTCAATGATATAGGAGAGTCTTATCAACCTGCTTTTATTATACTAGGTCATTCAGGAGAAGCAGGTCAGTACTAACCATAAGTTGTATACATTCTATAATTTTATACTACTTCAATGACTGTTCGGTTTAGGTCCTTTTTGTTTTTGTTGCTCCTTAATATTTTACAGAATTGTTTTTTTTTAAATTTAATGTCTTAAATTTACATGAAGCAAGAAATGCATGATGTTCACACTTGTTCAGTTTAGTAGGTTAAAAAAAATAACATTCTGCAATAGTTATGTTACATTGTGTAAATTTTGAAGATTTTAAAAATTTTATGTTCATATTTGCAATTTTTAGAGAAAGAATTTAAAGGCCAATATAACTATTGCATTCTTTGATTAGGTTTTTTTATCGCATTTGCCTTGTCTTTTGATGAAAACCATGATATTGACCTCATAAATGCCCATGGTTTTTTGTGTTGTTGGGTTACTGACTCATTGACATATACCAATATCTCTTATTATTCACACTTAGATATGTGTATATTATTTTTAAGAGGTAAAAGAAAGAAAGCTTATATTTCACTATTAATAAGTAGGAGTTCATCTTTGAGAATTGATATTGTATCAAAAGAACTTTAGAAATAAGAAAATCGGTGATGGCATAAATAATTGATATGTCATATTATAGAAATAATAGAAATGGAGACAGCTTATCTCTTCATTGTTAAGCCCCATATAGAAGAGAAATATAAATTCTGCACAGTGCAAGAAAGGGAAAAAGGCATATATAAGTTTCCCCTAGCATAAATAAAAAAGTAAACATCCATATCAGGTTTACTTGATCAGAGGTCAGAATGTATATAATTCATCACAATATATTAGCATACATTTGTAATGCATTAATTATATCATCTGAATCTTTAAAAAAATCAACGTCACTGAATTTTTTCCTTCCCTTACAAAATGTTGAAAAATTCTTTTTCAGAATCAATGTAGCCATAGGTGTCCTTTCTTGTCACAATGTAGACAAGTTTAATGAGAACTTTATCTTTTTCAGAACCTTTGTTGTCACCTAAAGATTTTCGTTTGGATCCTATGCAGCCAATACAACCTCACAAAGCTCACTTTATCTGGGAATCTGTAGACACATCTCAAGATAAAATAAGGGGAAGATTTAGGGGTTATAAGGTAGGTTTATGTTGTTGTTGCAATATTCGTTGGAATATATAAGTCTGTTACTCATTGCACAATAAAAAGTCATGAAAATTTCAGTATCTTTTACTTTTTATAATCAATTTTTGTCGTAAGATTTTTTGTGAAAAGAGCCCTTGGTAATTTCTCCTGTCAAATAAATCCATGCTTCTATTAACTTTACACAAAATGGTCGGACTGATAGGATGGTCAGCATTGCATTTACTAGAATTTGTTAAATATTTTAAAATACTTTGCAATATTTTGATAAAGAAAATCTTATTACGGTTTTATCAGATATTGTATGTGTGTGGTTCAAAAGTAAATTGAAAAATTGGCAAAACAGGCAATAACAATACAATAAAAAAATGCAAAGGAATATTGTTCTTATCCCTAAAAATAAGCAGGTAATATTGTTCTTATCCCTAAAAATAAGCAGGTAATATTGACCATTGCACCAATTTTACCTGATCTGTATATTATTACAGTTACGTTACTGGAAGTCTAGTGAAGGTCGACATAAATGGGAGGAAGTTGATGTTATTGTAGAGACCAGTGATGATATGTATCTCCGTGATGTCAGAGCTGCCATAAGTGGACTGCCAGCATATACAGCACTCAGGGCCCAAGTTTCTGTGATGAATGACCATTATACAGGGCCACCTAGTGCTACAATAGACTTTTCAACACCAGAAGGAGGTGAGAAGTACCTTAATAAAGTAAATTGACCACTAGCACTAGTTGCTTTAGGACCAAGTCACTGAATATTGCCTGACCAAAATTTTTAAGGGATCTATTAGGGCTAGGAAATTTGGTGCAGAGAGAGATATATTTCTTAAATAATGACTAGAAAACTATAAGATTGCAGAAGTTTATAATGTATTACCATGTATTTCATATAATCTAATCAAATTTTATCAATATTTTATTGTGAAATATTCTTAAATTTGCATTTTTTTTTACTTGTAGTTCCAGGACCAGTTAGACACCTACATGAACACAGAATTGGTTCTACATATGTTGTATTAAAATGGCTGCCACCAGAGGAGCCTAATGGCGTATTAATGGGATATGATATAGGATACCAACCAAGTAAGGCCAATTACTGACTTTGTTTCCAATTTAAGATTTTTTTCAAAGGGAAACAACTCATGGGTAGGCCAAGCTGTATTCTTGCCTAAGCAAAGCAAGTGGAACACATGCATGGCGTATTTATACAGAATCTGAAAATTATTTTCAATTTTCATAATAAAAAATGAGTTCATTACAAATTTATGATGAATATAAAATTGCAAAATATGTGATTACACAATGAAAATTCATAACAGCTTGCATGCATCAGAACATGCAAAACATACTCTTTCCATTAGGTAGTACATGTTCATATAGTCTTTTAACTATCATCTGTTAGGTAGTACATGTTCCTCTAGTCTTTTAACTATCATCCATAAGGTAGTACATGTTCATCTAAGTCTTTTAACTATCATCCATTAGGTAGTACATGTTCCTCTAGTCTTTTAACTATCATCCATTAGGTAGTACATGTTCATCTAGTATTTTAACTATCATCCATTAGGTAGTACATGTTCATCTAGTCTTTTAACTATCATCCATTAGGTAGTACATGTTCATCTAGTCTTTTAACTATCATCCATTAGGTAGTACATGTTCCTCTAGTCTTTTAACTATCATCCATTAGGTAGTACATGTTCATCTAGTCTTTTAACTATCATCCATTAGGTAGTACATGTTCCTCTAGTCTTTTAACTATCATCCATAAGGTAGTACATGTTCATCTAAGTCTTTTAACTATCATCCATTAGGTAGTACATGTTCATCTAGTCTTTTAACTATCATCCATTAGGTAGTACATGTTCATCTAGTCTTTTAACTATCATCCATTAGGTAGTACATGTTCCTGTAGTCTTTTAACTATCATCCATTAGGTAGTACATGTTCCTCTAGTATTTTAACTATCATCCATTAGGTAGTACATGTTCCTCTAGTCTTTTAACTATCATCCATTAGGTAGTACATGTTCATCTAGTCTTTTAACTATCATCCATTAGGTAGTACATGTTCATCTAGTCTTTTAACTATCATCCATTAGGTAGTACATGTTCCTCTAGTCTTTTAACTATCATCCATAACTATCATCCATTAGGTAGTACATGTTCCTCTAGTCTTTTAACTATCATCCATTAGGTAGTACATGTTCATCTAGTCTTTTAACTATCATCCATTAGGTAGTACATGTTCATCTAGTCTTTTAACTATCATCCATTAGGTAGTACATGTTCATCTAGTCTTTTAACTATCATCCATTAGGTAGTACATGTTCCTCTAGTCTTTTAACTATCATCCATAACTATCATCCATTAGGTAGTACATGTTCCTCTAGCCTTTTAACTATCATCCATTAGGTAGTACATGTTCATCTAGTATTTTAACTATCATCCATTAGGTAGTACATGTTCATCTAAGTCTTTTAACTATCATCCATTAGGTAGTACATGTTCATCTAGTCTTTTAACTATCATCCATTAGGTAGTACATGTTCATCTAGTCTTTTAACTATCATCCATTAGGTAGTACATGTTCCTCTAGTCTTTTAACTATCATCCATAAGGTAGTACATGTTCATCTAGTCTTTTAACTATCATCCATTAGGTAGTACATGTTCCTCTAGTCTTTTAACTATCATCCATAACTATCATCCATTAGGTAGTACATGTTCCTCTAGTCTTTTAACTATCATCCATTAGGTAGTACATGTTCATCTAGTCTTTTAACTATCATCCATTAGGTAGTACATGTTCCTCTAGTCTTTTAACTATCATCCATAAGGTAGTACATGTTCATCTTGTCGTTTAACTATCATCCATTGGGTAGTACATGTTCCTCTAGTCTTTTAACTATCATCCATAAGGTAGTACATGTTCATCTAAGTCTTTTAACTATCATCCATTAGGTAGTACATGTTCCTCTAGTCTTTTAACTATCATCCATTAGGTAGTACATGTTCATCTAGTCTTTTAACTATCATCCATTAGGTAGTACATGTTCATCTAGTCTTTTAACTATCATCCATTAGGTAGTACATGTTCCTCTAGTCTTTTAACTATCATCCATAACTATCATCCATTAGGTAGTACATGTTCATCTAGTCTTTTAACTATCATCCATTAGGTAGTACATGTTCCTCTAGTCTTTTAACTATCATCCATTAGGTAGTACATGTTCATCTAGTATTTTAACTATCATCCATTAGGTAGTACATGTTCATCTAAGTCTTTTAACTATCATCCATTAGGTAGTACATGTTCATCTAGTCTTTTAACTATCATCCATTAGGTAGTACATGTTCATCTAGTCTTTTAACTATCATCCATTAGGTAGTACATGTTCCTCTAGTCTTTTAACTATCATCCATAACTATCATCCATTAGGTAGTACATGTTCATCTAGTATTTTAACTATCATCCATTAGGTAGTACATGTTCCTCTAGTCTTTTAACTATCATCCATTAGGTAGTACATGTTCATCTAGTCTTTTAACTATCATCCATTAGGTAGTACATGTTCCTCTAGTCTTTTAACTATCATCCATTAGGTAGTACATGTTCATCTAGTCTTTTAACTATCATCCATTAGGTAGTACATGTTCATCTAGTCTTTTAACTATCATCCATTAGGTAGTACATGTTCCTCTAGTCTTTTAACTATCATCCATAACTATCATCCATTAGGTAGTACATGTTCCTCTAGTCTTTTAACTATCATCCATTAGGTAGTACATGTTCATCTAGTATTTTAACTATCATCCATTAGGTAGTACATGTTCATCTAAGTCTTTTAACTATCATCCATTAGGTAGTACATGTTCATCTAGTCTTTTAACTATCATCCATTAGGTAGTACATGTTCATCTAGTCTTTTAACTATCATCCATTAGGTAGTACATGTTCCTCTAGTCTTTTAACTATCATCCATAACTATCATCCATTAGGTAGTACATGTTCCTCTAGTCTTTTAACTATCATCCATTAGGTAGTACATGTTCATCTAGTCTTTTAACTATCATCCATTAGGTAGTACATGTTCCTCTAGTCTTTTAACTATCATCCATTAGGTAGTACATGTTCATCTAGTCTTTTAACTATCATCCATTAGGTAGTACATGTTCCTCTAGTCTTTTAACTATCATCCATAAGGTAGTACATGTTCATCTAGTCGTTTAACTATCATCCATTAGGTAGTACATGTTCATCTAGTCTTTTAACTATCATCCATAAGGTAGTACATGTTCATCTAAGTCTTTTAACTATCATCCATAAGGTAGTACATGTTCCTCTAGTCTTTTAACTATCATCCATTAAGTAGTACATGTTCCTCTAGTCTTTTAACTATCATCCATTAGGTAGTACATGTTCATCTAGTCTTTTAACTATCATCCATTAGGTAGTACATGTTCATCTAGTCTTTTAACTATCATCCATTAGGTAGTACATGTTCCTCTAGTCTTTTAACTATCATCCATAACTATCATCCATTAGGTAGTACATGTTCCTCTAGTCTTTTAACTATCATCCATTAGGTAGTACATGTTCATCTAGTCTTTTAACTATCATCCATTAGGTAGTACATGTTCATCTAAGTCTTTTAACTATCATCCATTAGGTAGTACATGTTCATCTAGTCTTTTAACTATCATCCATTAGGTAGTACATGTTCATCTAGTATTTGACTATTATCCATTAGGTAGTACATGTTCATTTTAGTCACTGATGCATGATTTTTTATTATTAATTGTTTTGGCTTTTAACTAGCTGTCAGTAACTGCGAGTACTCTCAAATCATACTTTCTTGTTTATTTGACCTGTTGATACTAGTTGTATTGCTTTTTTGTTGTTTGATGTTATTCAGGGTTGTATCTGATCTGTGTGCCAGCTTTGATGGGTGTTTGGTATTGCTATAGGTTTTCGCTTCGTGCTATGAACATCAAAATTATTTGTTTTGTAAAGATATTTCCTTTCTCTATTGGTACTGTACACGTACATGTATACCTAACAACAAAATTATTTTCATTTACCTGTGTTTAAAGTTATTGCAAATGGCTGATATTTTTGTTCGAGCATATTGTTTTTCTTTAATTGTTTAACATTTCATACCGATATAACATGTTACTTTTATTATTCTTCCCTTAGTTTATTTATTTTGTATTTACATTGTATCATAGGTCAAATTTATTTGTTCAGTGTATGTTCAATGGTGTTAATATGTCCTTTGATTGAGTTAAGCTATTTCAGTTGATATTTTATAGTGTGTCTTTCTATGTTGTGATGTTACACTATTGTTTCAGAAAAAGGGTGCAGGTTTGGTACCATTAAAACGTTTAAACCTGCTGCATTTGTTTGCACCTGTCCTAAGTCAGGAATCTGATGTTCAGTAGTTGTCGTTTGTTGGTGTGGTTCATAAGTGTTTCTTGTTTCTCGTTTTTTATATAGATTAGACCGTTGGTTTTCCCATTTGAATGGTTTTACACTAGTAATTTTTGGGGCCCTTTATAGCTTACTGTTCGGTGTGAGCCAAGGCTCCGTGTTGAAGACCGCACTGTGACCTATAATGGTTTACTTTTATAAATTTTGACTTGGATGGAGATTTGTCTCATTGGCACTCATACCACATCTTCTTATATCTTTTTAACTATCATCCATAAGGTAGTACATGTTCATCTAGTCTTTAACTATCATCCATAAGGTAGTACATGTTCATCTAGTCTTTTAACTATCATCCATTAGGTAGTACATGTTCCTCTAGTCTTTTAACTATCATCCATTAGGTAGTACATGTTCCTCTAGTCTTTTAACTATCATCCATTAGGTAGTACATGTTCATCTAGTATTTTAACTATCATCCATTAGGTAGTACATGTTCATCTAGTCTTTTAACTATCATCCATTAGGTAGTACATGTTCCTCTAGTCTTTTAACTATCATCCATTAGGTAGTACATGTTCCTCTAGTCTTTTAACTATCATCCATTAGGTAGTACATGTTCATCTAGTCTTTTAACTATCATCCATTAGGTAGTACATGTTCATCTAAGTCTTTTAACTATCATCCATTAGGTAGTACATGTTCATCTAGTCTTTTAACTATCATCCATTAGGTAGTACATGTTCATCTAGTCTTTTAACTATCATCCATTAGGTAGTACATGTTCATCTAGTCTTTTAACTATCAATTTTACTTTAAAGTCCTTAATTTTCCTTTACCGTTGCCTTCACATCTAACATTTATAGTCAATGTTATTGCATGAGAGGAATTGAAGATAAACAATTATAGGATTTTATCAAGTTTTAAATTGAAGTTCAATAACAAGCCTTTTTATGTATTAAAGTCAAGTAATTTTTTTTCTGCTTGACCTTTATAAATTATTTATTTTTGCATTTACTGATCTTGCAGCATATTTTTCTGAAAGGGCAATTTTTTAAAAGAAACAATGTTTACTCTTTATAGTTAAGTCCTCTCAAGTTGGTAATGTGATATTCCTTGAACCAAAAATTTCCAACCCATCAGTATTAAGAGCTCAAATCAAAGGATTGAAAGCCGATCATACATACAGATTCCTTGTGTGGGCTCGGACACAGACAGGTAGAGGAGAACCTAGCTTTATAGATGTTGAAACAACAAATTCAAGTGAGTTTTATGGTTTTATAAGGTATTCTATATCATTTGTGTAATTTTTATGACCCAATCGCAGCGGAGGGGGCATTAAGTGCTACCCTTGTCTGTCCGTACGTCCCAAAATTGGTTTCCGTTCTCTACCTTTAGTTTGCCTTAACCAAATGTTACGAAACTTATACACAATGCTTATTACCACAAAACACAGATCAAGTCAGAATTTGGGTTGGGTCACTTTTACCGTTTTTGAGTTATGTCCCTTTATAACATTATATGCAAGCTGGGGCATTACCTGTGTCCCATGAACACATTCTCCATTTATTGTATAATAAATGCATGATTCTTTTAATAAGATTTTCAGTCTTGAATGACATATTTCATACCATGTTGATCATTTTAAACTGATTAAAAATAAAAAGAAGTCAAATAAAATGAGATGTAGGGGTATATGTCAATATGACAGCAATCCAACAACAAAAACAACCAAAAGACATCTAGAGTGTAACAAATTGTCTAAAAAATTGACAGATGTCCATACAATATGTCAAACTAAAAATCATCCTGAAACAATAAAAAATCCAAATTCTCCAAATAACGAAATCATAAAGATATGACCTACAACAACTACTGACCCTGATGTAGGAAAGTCACATGAAAATGGAATGCATCAACTAGACATACTTAAGTTAAGCCAAATGATATTCTAAGGCAACCAACCAATATTCCGTACCATATGGTAAGTTAGAAAAGTCTCTGGATGACAAAGTGTGAAAAAAATTCAAACAAGAAAACTAATGGGCTGATTTAAGCCAAAATATTTTTCATAAAAAAGTCAAACTAAACCTAATATCAAAAGAGAGATTTGGTATGATTTCCACGGAGACAACTATCCAAAGAAGACAAAAGGGTCAAGGATGTAAAAAACAACTATAGGTCACGGTACAATATAATTTGACATTTGCTAAGATATATGTTCCCTAATAACCATTGTTTTATTTTCAGGACCTGGTATCCCTCACCCTATTGTGTCAGCAGTAGATAGAACCAGTTTTAACATCACATGGAGACCAGAACACTTTCAGCGTGATGTCCAGTACTTCTTAGAGTATAAAAGAGAAGGTATTCTGCACTGAAATATCTCAAAAATACAATTGATTAACAAATTTGTATTGATATACTTTTTAGAATTCAATAAAATGGCTTTTCAGTTTGATGTCATCTGATGATTAAAGACCCATTAAACAACTTTATAACCATTCAGTTTAGATGCTGAAGAACAATAAGTCCTAAGTAATAGATGGTAAGCAAACTTATGAAATCTATGAGGTTAAATTATCATAATAAACAAATTTATGTTTGATATTTATTTATTTGTTAATGAAGATCACATCAATAATAGAAATATGTTTATTGAGATGTAAATGTGTACATTTTATCTTTATAGGAGAAATAGATTGGGAGAAAACAAAGCCAGAATTTTTAAAATCCTGGAAAGTAGTGAATGGTCTGAGATCAAACACAAAGTACCAAGTTCGTCTTGTAGCCATGAATAAATTTGGTGAGACAACATACAGTAAAAATTTTCCAGTTTTCACAGATGCTACAGCATATGGTAAGTAAAATTTATAGAGATGTCAGTAATGTTTTGTGCTACAGCATGTGGTAAGTAAAATTTATAGAGATGTAAGTTATGTTTTGTGCTACAGCATATGGTAAGTAAAATTTATAGAGATGTCAGTAATGTTTTGTGCTACAGCATGTGGTAAGTAAAATTTATAGAGATGTAAGTTATGTTTTGTGCTACAGCATATGGTATGTAAAATTTATAGAGATGTCAGTTATGATTTGTGCCACAGCATATGGTAAGTAAATTTATAGACATGTCAGTTATGATTTATGCCACAGCATTTGGTAAGTAAAATTTATAGAGATGTCAGTTATGATTTGTGCCACAGCATATGGTAAGTAAAGTTATAGACATGTCAGTTATGATTTGTGCCACAGCATATGGTAAGTAAATTTATAGACATGTCAGTTATGATTTGTGCCACAGCATATGGTAAGTAAAATTTATAGAGATGTCAGTTATGAATTGTGCCACAGCATATGGTAAGTAAAAGTTATAGACATGTCAGTTATGATTTGTGCCACAGCATATGGTAAGTAAAATTTATAGACATGTCAGTTATGCTGTGCTACAGCATATGGCAAGTAAAATTTATAGAGATGTCAGTTATGTTTTGTGCTACAGCATATGGCAAGTAAAATTTATAGAGATGTCAGTTATGTTTTGTGCTACAGCATATGGTAAGTAAAAGTTATAGACATGTCAGTTATGATTTGTGCTACAGCATATGGTATGTAAAATTTATAGAGATGTCAGTTATGTTTTGTGCTACAGCATATGGCAAGTAAAATTTATAGAGATGTCAGTTATGTTTTGTGCTATAGCATATGGTCTTGTATTTTAAACACAAAACATAAGTGACATGTCTATAAATTAGTGCTGCAGTATATGGTAAGTAAAATTTATAGACATGTCAGTTATGTTTTGTGTTAAAAATAAAAAAATAAGAAGATGTGGTATAATTGCCAATGAGACAACTCTCCACAAGAGCCCAAATGACACAGAAATTAACTACAGGTCACCGTACTATTTATTTACAACAAACCAAAAACAAATATGATACATAAACAGCAATGAACAACAACCACTGAATTACAGACTCCTGACTTGGGATAGCCCATTTACTGTTCCTTGACCTTAATGATGAATTTAGGGGAGTATAACAGCCTCACATGAAAGACTCTGGCCTCCATTTCTTTTACATAACATGGAATCATTTTAAGTTTAAAATCCAATTTCATATTTGATACACTTAGTGGCTAATGTTTCAGTGATTTTCTCTCAAGCTAAGCTAATGTTTCAGTGATTTTCTTGCAAGCCAAGCTAATGTTTCAGTGATTTTCTCTCAAGCTAAGCTAATGTTTCAGTGATTTTCTTGCAAGCTAAGCTAATGTTTTAGTGATTTTCTTGCAAGCTAAGCTAATGTTTCAGTGATTTTCTTGCAAGCTAAACTAATGTTTCAGTGATTTTCTTGCAAGCTAAGCTAATGTTTCAGTGATTTTCTTGCAAGCTTAGCTAATGTTTCAGTGGTTTTCTTGCAAGCTAAGCTAACGTTTCAGTGATTTTCTCGCAAGCTAAGCTAATGTTTCAGTGATTTTCTCGCAAGCTAAGCTCATGTTTCAGTGATTTTCTTGCAAGCTAAAGCAAATTTTGGATTAGGAAAATTTTGTAATTGTTGTTTACTGTGGTCTCTTGGTATCTTGGCATGGGATTTTTTTATTATTTCAACCATAGTATTGCCCGTTTTAATTTGGAACAATTTGTATTGCTCTTTTATTCAGCTGCTCTTTACATGATAATCTGAACTCCTAAGTATCTTGATCTGTTGTTATTCTGCTTTTAAATGATGAGATATATTTGATGATGTGTTTATATTGTAGAAAGATACTTACAAATTTATGTTTAATCTATATTTTTCAGGTGATGGTGCACAGAAAAGTTATGATGCTTCTATTGGAAAGTATGAAAGTTTCAATAATCACAACATTGCTAAAAGACATCATTTATCAGTGATTTGTGCTATAACGACAGTTTTGACTGCTTTTATCACAGTCTTTCAACGATAGCGTCTTGCCATATCATAACACTTCTGTTAAAAAATCATGGTTGTGACAATGTTGAATTTAATATTCCAGCTGAGAAGTTATCACGGCTCTGTAGTGACAAATGTAGTTGCATAGTTCAGCGAATTAGTGAAAGAAGTTCAGAGTAGATTGTTTATTCTTGTTAACGGTTGTGAAATTCTCTCAGATAACAGTATATCTGAAAGATTATTGTATTGTGTGAGATAGAAAATTATAGATTTTGTGATATTATACATGTCATTCAATTTAAGGAAGACACAGTATGAAGATCAAGATTAGGACATGTTATTGATGAGGAGGTTCAAGATAAGAACTTTATGCTTACATTTCTAGTCAGTTTTTGATGGCAAATTCAATTTAATACTGATAACAATTAATGTGACATTATACAGAAAACCAAGAATACTCCTCTAGACGCTGAGACAGAGACATATCCCAGTAATATTACTAGTTACCTATGATATGTCATTTTATTCAACAATTTGTAAAATTGAAATCTTAATTTAGATAATCATTTCAGCTAATTCATGTAGTCTATTGATAATCTGTGCACAATGCTGATTTCAGATGATTATAGAATATGTAAACCATTGCTCATTTGTGCCATATATAATGAACATTGTAAATTATCAGGTTGTGAATGTATATAAATATATAATGTCTAGTCACATTATCACAATGAAGCCAATCATATCAAAATGTTGAGATTACTTTTTGTGTTGATGTTGTTTTAGTCGCGTGATTGTGTAAAGAAAGATATGCTAGAACTCTTGTTTATGTTCTAAAAGGTAACACTCTTAATAGAAATGGCTTCCAAATATTTTATCATTCATGATTTAGTTAGAACATAACATAACATGTTCTTCTCTAAGAAATATAGATTCCACCACTGCATCAAGTGTGTAACAATATTTCTCCACTCGAGACAGTTTAATTTTATAATTTAAAACATGAGGCTTGCCAAGCTTTTTAAATATTTAACTGTTGAGAGTGGAAAATTTTCATAATACATGAGATATAGTGGTGGAATCTGTTTCTCTGATGATTTTAAGACAATTTCTAAACAAGTTTATCCTTCCTCTTCAAAGATTTTGCAGAAAGTTGTGTTCTTTATATGTGACGTCATCAGGCATGGTTGCTTTTTTTCATGACATCACAATAGGAAATTAAGAAGAAATCAAGAAAATTTGACGTCATAATTGAAATTTCGACCAAGAACAAAGTTTTCCCTAGAGATGAGAAATATTTTTCTCATACCGATCAAGAAGTGAAAAAAGCATGGAAATTACAGAAAGGACATTTTTTAATCCTTGACTCATTTTGGCATACCATATTATATAATATAGATTCTTACCATTACTATAGGTTAAAGCATGAATTATAAAAAAAAAAACGTTGCATAATATTTTTGATAATTTTGTCATACATAGTAAAAAAAACTGATTTTAATTTTTATTTCTTTTTAAATACCAAATGTTTTCATATTGAACTATCATTGGGTTCTAGGAATATTTGATTTCATTCTAACATTATCATGTAGCAAAGTGCTCAAGCTTTCATTCATCCACTTTAACATGTAAACATTCCAGTAGACTGGAAAAACATGCAGAATACATTTTCATTTGTAGAATACTAGATCCAGGGGATCTTTTCATAAAAAATCTTACTACAAAAAATGATTGTAAGTTATACTGAAATGTCCATGTCTTGTGGGTATTTTTTCTCGTAAGATTTTTTGTGAAATTGGTCGCTGTCCTACACCCACCAAGTTTCGATGACCACCAATATGCATATTTAGCGACATCTTACAATTGCTAAACATTAGATTTAAAGCTTTTAATCATAAATACACAGACATACCAATCTGGAGCAAAGTGTTTTACCAATTATCATGGAACATATTTTTAAAATGTTTTATATGTTTTTGACATTCGTTTCTTATTAAGTTGTAAGATATTCACTGTATAGAAATTTGTTTAGAATTTTATTATAAATATGTATATAATTATAGATGTAGAAAATGTATGGGTGAGAATGAAAGACTAGGTCTTCAGCTTTATGTTTATAATGTGATAAAATTTTACATGAGATTATACTCATGTTGTATAGGGGTCAATGCATTATTCAGCACAGTAAACCCTTTCTGTTTTTACACCCTTTTGATCTGATGTCATCACTAATAACCACATTTTGTTTAGTCCCATAATTAGAGTATCACAAAAAATATTAATATCTAAAAATGTACTCATGTAAAATAATAATAATACACATTTGACAAGAAGTACCATGGGAAAATTCTCGCAAAATAAAACTTATTTAAAAACAAAGTTTTATAGATGTACACTTAATTCATCATTATTTTTCATGTAAATAATTTCCTCATATCTTTTGAAAACTTGATTAATACATGAGAAATTTCATGTTAAAGAAAGTGCATTAAAAGTATATGAAAATTCAGTTGTGAAGGGACGAGAGGTAACCACTTCATATGAGAATCTGAATATCTGTATATTTCCTGGTTGTGCATAAAGTAAATATTATATTTTCATCTAACAAAGTTAACGATGAACATAATTGTATATGTTATATGTATATTATGTGTATAAAATTTCCATTCCAATTCTATGTCTAAGGGACATAACTCTATGGGGAATCATTTTATTTTGTGCCAAATATGTTTACTGAGATTTCTTATTGAGTTATTGTTACCTTTTATGTTATAAATGTTATCATTGTAGCACAGCATTTGTAAGAGGTTAATATTCAGGTCACTGTTGCATCGATTCTGTACTCGGAACATGTAAACGTTTGTTATGTGATAATCAGCTCAGATTTAACATTGTGATAATTTCATAATGTAAATACAGTTAGGTCAGTGTATGCACGCTGTTTCTGTCCTTAGAGCTTGCTTAAAAAAATTTAGACTAAAGATACAAACGAATTCCACAAAGTGTACCCAGCCTTTAATATTGAGTTGAGCACTTTAAGAGGAAGTGCCTATTCATATTATCTAGACTGCCAGTAATGATAATAAAATATTATTTTAAAGTAGTACAGCTTATAGAATTTATAGTAGTATAAGAATAAGAATCTACCATTTTGAGTTCCAACTACAAGTCATAGATTAAATTCTATCATTCCCATGATAGCAGTGCTAAAATATTTTACTTAGTTCCCAGAACACATTTCTTGTTCCTTTTTATTGTGATTTATTAGATGACTGATGATTGATACTTTTTTGTTGAATACTTGTCTACCCAAGTTTTATATTTTTAAATGAAAATAGTTCTTCATAAGAAATATCAGTTGAATTTTTACATTGCTTTCATCTATACAAACAGTATGGAAATATAAAAGATTTCAACCATTGATTAATATTTAACCTTAATAATAATAGAATATCCGAAAGACTTGAGAGGTCCGTCATTTGGGGTATTTCCACAACTCCTTTGATTATTAATGTCCATGAAACAGATTTGTTGCAGCAGCTGTTTCATCTGTTCCATAAAGCCATTGTTTTTTTATGAAAAAAAGCTTATTGTAATGTTAGTAGATTGATTTAAAAAATCCTATTTGTTTAGTTGTATGAAAGTATTATTTAATTGTGCAATATTTTGTATTATCTTGTCAGTGCAATATTGTTATGTTTAAAAGCTGTTCCATTGTAGCAGCTAGGCTTACTATTAAATATATAAAAGATGTTTAACTCCAATAGAATTATCAGAACACAGGGTTATTATAGGTTTATTGTTTTATAATAAGAAGATAGCTGATGGTTTCTAATTTAGCCGAAAAACAGAACAATTCACTGGTACTGTGGGTTCATTATTATTTGTTTGATATCAATATTCCGGGATATAGGTTTATCACAAATTTAAATCTTCAACGATGTACAAATTTTCTGTAGGCTTGTATGGAGACTTTGGCAAAACCACAAAATACAGTATCCCGGAAATACAGTTTTTCTTCAATCAACAAAAATTGGTATCCACAAAAATAAAGGAATTCACAGCATTTATTGTGTCATTTTCTTCAAACATTTTCATAAAATCTTCAAAATTCTTCACCATCTTAGATCCATTTGCCTACTCGGAATGGAACAGCTTCAGAATCCATTATAATATTAATTATTGACCTTCAATTCTATGTTCAGCATTTCATGACCAATTTTTGTTGTGATATCCTGTTTTGAATCAAATGTTTTCTTAGTTTGATTATCTTGTTACATGTTATAATGTTCAAATATTATTTTCAGATGTATCTCAGATTCATTTAGTTCAAATATTCCCTCATATGATAAGTGATGTATTACTTGGTCATCATGAATTTGTCATTATTTGATTATCTTTTTTCTATGAATACATGTCTATTTTCTTTCATTTCCTTATTGCTGACAATGCACAAAATTGCTTTGATATTCCAATCTCCAAGAAAAGGCAAATAGTTTCCATTTTTTTTTATATCTAGTATAGATTGAAGTACTTCAGTTTATAACATTTCTCATAAATCTGCAGGTTAGGGAATAAAAAAAATAAAAGTCTGAACAACAAACTGTTTGTCGAAGCCTCCATGTTTTTGACAAATTCATGATGACTTAGTACACACTTTATGTTATAAATCATGTTGGTGTTTGTTTTGTATATCTTGGGTCAAATGATTCATGTGTAGTTAAAACTCATCTCACAACAAAATAAAATGACACAAAATACTGATATAGTCTTGTTTCTACCTTCAGGGTTTAAATCATGATTATTCACCTTTTATATTGTAAATACACAAGTGAATGTAAAAGGTTTGTCAAATAACTACATGAACTCAAAAAGGGTATGTAGAAGAAGAAATAATGTCCTCTTTAAGAACCATTAAAAACATAAGGAGATGTGGTATTATTGCTAATGAGCCAACTAGCCACAAGAGACCACAAAACAACTATAGGGCACAGTATGGCCTTCAACATTGAGCAATACCCATACCATGTAGAAAGCTCTAAAAGGCCCCAGCATGACAAAATGTGAAATAATTCAGAAGAAAAAACAAAGTCCCAACACCCTGACTTATGCTAGAAACAAAAGAAAAAACAAATATGGTAGACACCAACTAATGACTACCAATGAACTTGGTATGATTGCCCCAGAGACCAAATACTTGGATGTAAGCAACTATTGGTCACTGTACAGCCTTCAACAATGAGTAAAAACCATAATGTGTAGTAAGCTAAAAGGACCCTGTATGACAAAATGTGAAACAATTCCATCAGGGAAACAAACAGTTTCACCTTTTTATCCTCCATCATCAGCCTCTGTAACCACTTGGTCATTTGGAGCAAAACTTTGATTGAATAATATTTGAGTGGTCCCCTTCTAAACAATGGAATGCCAGTCTCTGTTGTCACACAAGACATCTGTTCAAGCAACTAATTGGTTGAAATAATACACATCTATTTTCATACTGTATGAACTCAAAATGGGTAGAAGTAGAAATGTATGGTCCTCTATTAGAAGCCAGTATCTGCTGACTATGCCTGCCATCCATTACAATTAACAGACATTAGTTGAAAAATACAGTTAAAAAGATTGATCAGGCTAATTTTAACGAGAATTTTGCAAAAATGTCCAAAATACTTTCCATTTGAAATCCTACTAATAACTCTAACCAAAATTCTAAATCATCGCAGAACAGAGAAAAACACAGTGTGTTGTGTGGATGGATTTATGGATATTAAATGTTGAGCAATAAATAAGTAGAACAAGAACATGTCGGTGTGATACAAATATGGACCCTGCTTCGTACTAGACTAAAACTGAGCCAGATTTTATAGTGCGAATTCACATTGTAGCAGTCCAAATGAAGATATGTCATGTATGATCAAGAAGTTTGAAGGCTGAAGGCAAACAATTAAGACCAAATTAAGTATAGTATTACAGATGTGTGATGGATTATTGTCTTATAAACATCTAAAGGAGTTATGAAATCAAAGGTCCAGAAATGTGACCTTACCTTTATAGTTAACTTTCCCTCCATAAAATAAGGCCAACATTACTATACATATGGAAGTTTTTAAATAACTAGTCCTTGCCATTTTAAAAAGATGGCCAGGTTACGCAGAATCTTTAACAATGGAGAATACTCTATACTGAACATTTAAATATTTGTAAAAATTCCTCTTACACTTCCATAATAGCAGGTGCATAATCACCATTTGTGCAATCATCCTGTGAAGTTTCAGGGGTTTGGTTTGAAAACTGTAGGAGTTAATCACACAAAACTTGTACACTGTCATAAATTTTGCTGAAAATGACTAACTTCCCAAAGTTTGGAAAAATTAGGGATATGAGTTGAAAACTGTAGGAGTTGATTACACAAACTAGATACACAATTTTCCCTGTTCGCTTGCCTGACATCAACATACTCCCATTCACCCGACCAAAATGCCACATTAAATGGAAATAACAAGAAAATAATGTTGTCTCAAGTTAATTTGTTGAAATACAGATCTGCCAAAATCATATCAGAACTATTTTCACAATACTATCTTGTTAGGATAAGTGACAGATATTTTGCCTTATAACAGGCCAACTACAAACCCCTCAAAGAGTTCTTCAAGGTTGAAATGAAGCGGAATTTAGTGAGCGTAACCTTGCATCAACAATACAAAACTAAGCAACTTCTACAGGGTTAAAGAACATTGACTTTAGAATACGTTTTAAAAATTTTAGTCTCTATCCGCATCTTATCTGTGGATATGTTTCTCGTGAAAATTTATTAAATATAAGATGGTATTTCTCATGCTACCTTTCATTTCAATGTTATTTATAGAACTTAAAAAACTTGCTTTATGGGGTGGATGGGAGAAGCCAAGCAACTGTTTTTGCACAATCCAGTAAGACACTAGTAGAAGACTAATTCTAGCAACTGGCAATTATTTGAAATGTAGTATGCTCCTTATTAATTCCAGTAAGGGAGCTACCATTTGATTTTTATAGGGGGGGGGGGGGGGGGGGGGGGACTGGGGCTAGGATGAAATTTGAAAAAAAGTCAGGACAGGAGTTTTTAGTAAAAAAAAAGTCAGGATGAGCAACTTGGCAAAAAAAAGGCAGGATGACAATTTATGTAAAAAAAGTCAGGATAAACTAATAAAAAAATAAGGCAGGACCGAATTGAGTGAAAAATAAAAAGGCAGGACAGAGATTACAACTAAAAAAAATGCAGGCAAAAATTTTTCATCCTAGCCCCCCCATAAAAATCAAATAGTAGCTCCCTAATGGATTGTTCATGAAATATTTCATGGCAATACTTCATCATGCTTCATTTTTGTAGAGCCTAACACTTTTGTCGCAGAAAGCTATCATAGGGATAGTGATCCGGCGGCGGTGTTAGCTAACTTCTTAAAAGCTTTATATTTTAGAAGGTGGAAGATCTGAATGCTTCATACTTTGTATATGGATGCCTCATGTTACGAAGTTTCTGTCAGTCACATGTCCAATGTCCTTGACCTCATTTTCATGGTTCGGTGACTACTTGAAAAATTAGTTAAGATTTTTTGTAATGTTAAATTCTCTCTTATTAAAAGTAATAGGATAACTATATTTGGTATGTGCGTACCTTGCAAGGTCCTCATGCCCGTCAGACAGTTTTCACATGACCTCGACCTCATTTCATGGATCAGTGAACAAGGTTAAGTTTTGGTGGTCAAGTCCACATCTCAGATACTATAAGCAATAGGTCTAGTATATTCAGTGTTTGGAAGGACTGTAAGGTGTACATGTCCAACTGGCAGGTGTCATCTGACCTTGACCTCATTTTCATGGTTTAGTGGTTATAGTTAAGTTTTTGTGTTTTGGTCTGTTTTTCTTATACTGTATGCAATAGGTCTACTATATTTGGTGTATGGAATGATTGTAAGGTGTACTTGTCTAGCTGGCAGGTGTCATCTGACCTTGACCTCATTTTCAAGGTTCATTGCTCAGTGTTAAGCTTTTGTGTTTTGGTCTGTTTTTCTTAAACTATAAGCAAAAGGTCTACTATATTTGTTGTATGGAAGAATTGTTAGCTGTACATGCCTGCCTAGCATGGTTCATCTGACCTTGACCTCATTTTCATGGTTCATTGGTCAATGTTTAATTTACTTGGTTAATGTTAAGTTTATGTGACAGTTGTAATAAAGCTTGATATTTAGGACTATCAACATAATATCAATGATAAAATGCTCCGCTGGGGCGCAGCTTGATACGACCGCAGAGGTCGAACCCTGAACAGTTGGGGCAAGTATGGACACAACATTCAAGCTTGATACAGCACTGAATTTGGATTGTCTTTAAATATTTGACACAGCATAGGTTTCTGACACAGAATGAAAGTGGTCTAAGAACTCAAAAATTTTTAATTTACCTATTCAAACCATATCATTATTATTTGCTTTTATATATAAATAAGAAATAACCAATTTAAAATGGGTAATTTTAAAGAAAAAAAAAAAATCCCCCCCCCCAAATTTTTTGAACCCCTTTATGATTTATCACCCCCAAACTCAATCCCAGCCTTCCCTTTGTGGTATGGTACCTTGCAATACAATTTCAGAGAGATCCATACACTTGAACACAAGTTATTGTCTGGAAACTAGAAAAATGCGTTTTTTTGCCCCTTTTTGGCCCCAAATTCCTAAACGTTTAGGGCAATTACCCCCAAACTCAAACCCAGCTTTCCCTTTGTGATATGGAACCTTGCAGTACAATTTCATAAAGATCCATACACTTACACACAAGTTATTGTTCTGAAACTAGAAAAATGCTTGTTTTTTTGCCCTTTTATGGCCCCTAATTCCTAAAATTTTGAGGGAATTACCCCCAAAATCAATCCCAGCCTTCCCTTTGTGGTATGGTACCTTGCAGTACAATTTCAGAGAGATCCTTACACTTGAACACAAGTTATTGTCTAGAAACTAGAAAAATGCTTATTTTTGGCCCCTTATTCCTAAACTTTTTGGGCAATTACCCCCAAACTCAATTCCAGCTTTCCCTTTGTGATATGGAACCTTGTAGTAAAATTTCATAAAGATCCATATACTTACACACAAGTTATTGTCATGAAAGTAGAAAAATGCTTGTTTTTTGCCCCTTTTTTGCCCCTTATTCCTAAAATTTGGAGGCAATTACCCCCAAAATCAATCCCGGCATTCCCTTTGTGATATGGAACCTTGTGATACAATATCAGAGAGATTCATACACTTACACACAAGTTATTGTCCTGAAACTAGAAAAATGCTTGTTTTTTTCCCCTTTTTGGCCCCTAATTCCTAAAATTTTGAGGCAATTACCCCCAAAATCAATCCCAGCATTCCCTTTGTGATATGGAACCTTGTGGTACAATGTCAGAGAGATCCATACACTAACACACAAGTTATGTCTGGAAGTTACAAAAATGCTTATTTTTGGCCCCTAATTCCTTAACTGTTGGTACCATAACCCCCAAAATCAATCCCCACCTTCTTTTTGTGGTATTGAACCTTATGGTAAAATTTCATAGAGATCCATTCACTTAAACTAAAGTTAGAGTGCGAAAACTAATGTGTCTTCGGACGACGACGCCGGACGATGACGACGACAACGACGCCAAAGTCATACCAATATACGACACAAAAATTTTTTTGCAGTCGTATAATTAGTAAAGAAGGCGAGACATTTCAGCGTGTGCACTCTTGTTAGTAAAACATATTAATATAAATATATGTATTCCACATGGTTTCTCTGTCCACTTGAACCTTACTTGCAAAGTTTTCCTTATGTTTTGATACTGATTGGGTCGTTTAACGTTGTTTTGAATAATAAGAGCTTATTCACTTCTTTGTTGGACATCTTCACCAGTTTTGAATACAATTTATTATTTACTCTAGCACAGTTTCCTTTAAGTCCAAGCAACTTTTTTTTCAATAACTATTTTAAAAAAAGATTACCAATATAAAGATGCAACCAGAGTCATCTTGTATTAAGTGCAAGCTCTGTATTAATCATTGATTGATAACTGCTTAACCTCCTCCAACAAATGTTTCATGCAAATTCAGAATGATTGCACATTGATGAAAAAATAAATATACCCTACTGCGAGTTGGATTTTGACCATTATAGCTCACAAGGTAACAGCCTGCAGGAAGACATATCATCCTACCTGGACTTCATTCAGACTTAATTGAGAAGCAACAAATACCTATCTTATAGTCTTGGGTTTGACCCAGCTGGAGATCAAACCCACAATTTCCCCAACAAGTGGTAAGCAAACAGCCATGTGTCCAATTATTGTTGTTATAACAAGTGAAACTGTGAGCTACTGCTCACTGATGATACCCCCGCCCAAATACTTGACGGTAAACAGAAGTTGTTGAGTGATGAATCTGAAAATGCATCACACAGTATAGCTGACTTATATAAACCCTGAAACCAAATTTCAGAAATCCTTGTAATGTAGTTCCTGAGAAAGATGCAACGAAAAATATTCATGGGACGGATGGACCGACAGACGGATGGATGGACAGACAGAGGTAAAACAGTATACACCCACTTTTTTAAAGCGGGGGTATAAAAAGTAGTGAAGTACTGTGAAACTGGATGATATGTAAATGGGCACTGAAAAACAAGCTGAATTTTTTTTGTTTTTATTGGTAAAAATTAACAATGTATAATAGATGAATGCACAATTTAAACCACAGGACTAAACATATCATTAGAGATCAAATACATTATAACCAAAATTTACCATCACTAACCTACAGGAATTCAGAAATTAGTAATTTCATAAAATAAGAAGTCCTATTGCTTTTACAGTTAGTTGACGTGATATATTGATTTTGTTTAAAGTTTCGGTACAAGTTAATAGTCCTTTATAATCTTATTGGTTCAAAGTGGTAACACACGAGACAAAAAATGCCCCAATGTAACAGTAACTAGATTGTTTCTGTAATAACCATACAGAATTAACAGTTTATGAATGTGGACAGAGGTAGTAGAAAAAGGAATGCAGTATATTATGCTATATTTTATCTCCCTGAAGAGACTTAATATTAAATTATCTATCATGTCTTATCAAAATTAAAAGTGTCTTAATGCTGTAATATTTAGCAACTGATAACATTAAATGTCAAAATAGATTCAATTATATGTAATAAAAAGAACTAAAAGCAACCACTAGTTCTCTCAAGGGAAAAAATGAAGCCTAATTCATTTATTTCTGAAAAGAGAATACACCATAGTGACATTTTACAAATAAGTTAAAAATATAACTTGAGTATTTCTTTTTTTTGAGGATTTTTAGACCCTATTCAAAAAGAGCACCACTGTAAAATGGTATAAAGGTTCTTCTGTAAAATATATATGTACTAATGATTAGTAATGAATAATTTCACTGTTTTTCCAAATGAAAGTAGTAGAGCAATCATCTATGGCCTATTCAATGTGAGGTATGCTTTATTTTATCACTATGCACTTTAATGATGACTTTGCAGTTGGTTAATATTTCTGAATAGTTGAACAGTTTGATTTGATAAAACAAATTGTAATTGGGTCAGAATTTTGAATGAACTGCAATATGTGGCAAAAACACTCATAATAAAAGTCACAGCAATACATTTCACTAGTTGTAACTAACATATTGGTACTGGTTTTGGTAGTGTGTATGTGTGGCAATTTGTTGTAATTAAATTCTTTTCTATGCAAAAAAGTATTTCAAATTTTGACAATTTACATTGAAACAAAAAAGGGGATTGTGACAAGTTTATTTTAAGACTATACCTCTATTTGTAAAATATACTATATAGTGCTGCAAAATATTTAAAACTTATTATAATTACCAAAGAATAAGACTACGAACAATAAAATAACTCCAACATGTACTATGTCATAGCTCCATCCAGTAATTATACACATACAACAAGACGATGACACACAATTATACTACACAATGGATACAAAATACCATCAATCGAAATTCCTGTTTTATAACAATAATATTAAGGTTTGAAAAGATTGTTCCAATGTAAAACCCTGTCCTTGCTGGAACCATAGTGGTCAGCTGATTGCCAACAAAGTTACAACAATGAATTAAAACCTAATAACCTAATATCTTCAATGTTTAACTTCCCAGCTAATGTTTGTTGGCTAATCAGTATGTACCATACAAGGAACATTCTGTCATAATTAGTTCCAGCTGGTTCAGCAGTTCTCTAGAAGGTCTCAAAAGTTTCAACCAAAAAGAAAACTTATATTTTTAGCAATGACAGCCATGTTTGTTTTATAAATTAGACCCAAAGATCCAACCTTTTCTACAACTAGTCTCAAAACATTAAAGTTTGGTCTCAAAAGTTCCAGTAGTTTAGGAAAGAAGTTCTAAGTCTTCAAGGGCAACACACATCAAGTGTTGGGTAAAAATGAAAAAAAAAATTTTTTGAAACATATATAAACACTAAAAATATAGGAAAACTTTCACTCCAATTGCACCATACACATACTATATTGCACCAACAACATTATACCAACAAAATATATATGGTACATTCAAGATCATAAACTCTAAAATAATATAACTCCTTCATACATCATAACCATACAAACCTGGTATTCTACTCAAATACAATAAAAAAAAAACTATATTATTTCAATTCCTGGCCATCTTCCTTCAGATCTGCTAGCATTATTGATCCTGAACAAAAAACATTTAATTTTAGCTAATTCTAAGAGCTAGTAGCTTCTGTAAGATTGACTTTACATTAAAAATAAATATTTGCCTTATTGGTCCATTTACATACACTAAAAACAAATAGTTTGTTTCTCTAAAGCAGTAATTTTACATTAAGAATCAGTTTAGCCTTATATTTCTCCTAGCTTTTTTTCATGTTATTACTATAAATTTGTCTTCAATGTTTCTGTTTCCATTGATGACTTTTATGATCCTGAACGTCCATTCATGACTTCTGTTTTGTCCAGAAGTTTATAGCTGCCTGAGTATATCACAGATTAGTAGTGTGGAGGAACTGTAGATAGAGCTTCAGCGGTACTCCTTTTCCTACAGACATCCTGCAATAAAGTATATCACAGATTAGTAGTGTGGAGGAACTGTAGATAGAGCTTCAGTGGTACTCCTCTTCCTACAAACATCCTGCAATAAAGTATATCACAGATTAGTAGTGTGGAGGAACTGTAGATAGAGCTTCAGCGGTACTCCTTTTCCTACAAACATCCTGCAATAAAGTATATCACAGATTAGTAGTGTGGAGGAACTGTAGATAGAGCTTCAGTGGTACTCCTCTTCCTACAAACATCCTGCAATAAAGTATATCACAGATTAGTAGTGTGGAGGAACTGTAGATAGAGCTTCAGTGGTACTCCTCTTCCTACAAACATCCTGCAATAAAGTATATCACAGATTAGTAGTGTGGAGGAACTGTAGATAGAGCTTCAGTGATACTCCTCTTCCTACAGACATCCTGCAATAAAGTATATCACAGATTAGTAGTGTGGAGGAACTGTAGATAGAGCTTCAGTGGTACTCCTCTTCCTACAAACATCCTGCAATAAAGTATATCACAGATTAGTAGTATGGAGGAACTGTAGATAGAGCTTCAGTGATACTCCTTTTCCTACAGACATCCTGCAATAAAGTATATCACAGATTAGTAGTGAAGAGGAACTGTAGATAGAGCTTCAGTGGTACTCCTCTTCCTACAGACATCCTGTAATAAAGTATATCACAGATTAATAGTGAAGAGGAACTGTAGATAGAGCTTCAGCGGTACTCCTTTTCCTACAGACATCCTGCAATAAAGTATATCACAGATTAGTAGTGTGGAGGAACTGTAGATAGAGCTTCAGTGGTACTCCTCTTCCTACAAACATCCTGCAATAAAGTATATCACAGATTAGTAGTGAAGAGGAACTGTAGATAGAGCTTCAGCAGTACTCCTCTTCCTACAGACATCCTGCAATAAAGTATATCATAGATTAGTAGTGTGGAGGAACTGTAGATAGAGCTTCAGTGGTACTCCTCTTCCTACAAACATCCTGCAATAAAGTATATCACAGATTAGTAGTGTGGAGGAACTGTAGATAGAGCTTCAGCAGTACTCCTCTTCCTACAGACATCCTGCAATAAAGTATATCACAGATTAGTAGTGAAGAGGAACTGTAGATAGAGATTCAGCAGTACTCCTCTTCCTACAGACATCCTGCAATAAAGTATATCACAGATTAGTAGTGAAGAGGAACTGTAGATAGAGATTCAGTGATACTCCTCTTCCTACAAACATCCTGCAATAAAGTATATCATAGATTAGTAGTGTGGAGGAACTGTAGATAGAGCTTCAGTGGTACTCCTCTTACTACAGAGCAGAGAAGCATCTACTTCCAATCATCAAGTATTTGGTTTGACTCCACTGGTGATAAAACCCAAGAAGTCCTGCACTATAGGTGAGCAGGCTAAGACAAGAACATTGAGGCAGAGTTTGGATATTGTTAAAGGGATTCCTTCTCTTTTGATCTTCAGAGTTTGGATATTGTTAAAGGGATTCCTTCTCTTTGGAGCTTCAGAGTTTGGAAAGTTTGGTACATAATATAAAATCTACACTAAACCCCAGTAATTTTATCTTTATGAGTATAAACAGTCTCTATATTTATAAGTTTCTCACCCGAAGTTTATCCCTATGAGTGTTAACAGCCTCTATATTTAAGTTTCTTACCTCTGCTTTATCCCTATAAGTGTCAACAGTCTATATTTACAAGTGTTTTACCTCTGGTTTATATTGATGAGTGTTAACAATCTATATTTACAAGTTTCTTAACTCTGGTTTATCCCTATAAGTTTCAACAGCCTCTATATTTACTAGTTTCTTATCCCTGGTTTATCCCTATGAGTGTAAACAGTCTATATTTATTAGTTTCTTACCCTTGGTTTATCCCTATGTTTTTTAACACTTTCTATATTTATTTGTTTCTTACTCCAAGTTTATCCTTATGAGTGTTAACAGTCTCTTTATTTCAAAGTTTCTCACCCCTGGTTTATCCCTATGAGGATTAACACCCTATATATTCATAAGTTTCTTACCCCTGGTTTATCTGTATCAATGTGAAAGAGTCCCCATATTTCTATGTTTCTTACCCCTGGTTTATCCCTATGGGTGTTAACAGTCTATATTCATAAGTATCTTACCACTGGTTTATCCCTATGAGTGTTACCAGTCTCTATATTTATACGTTTCTTAAACCTAGTTTATCCCTATGAGCATTAACAGTCTCTATATCTATGTTTCTTACCTCTGGTTTATCCCTATGAGTGTTAACAGTATCTATATTTATAAGTTTCTTACCCTTCCTTTATCCCCATGAGTATTAACAGTCTCTATATTTATAAGTTTCTTACCCTTCCTTTATCCCTATGAGTGTTAACAATCTCTATATCTATAAGATTCTTACCCTGGGTTTATCCCTATAAGTGTTAACAGTCTATAATTATCCCTTGGTGGGTTAACAGTATCTATATTTATAAGTTTCTTACCCTTCCTTTATCCCTATGAGTGTTAACAATCTCTATATCTATAAGATTCTTACCCTGGGTTTATCCCTATAAGTGTTAACAGTCTATAATTATCCCTTGGTGGGTTAACAGTATCTATATTTATAAGTTTCTTACCCTTCCTTTATCCCTATGAGTGTTAACAATCTCTATATCTATAAGATTCTTACCCTGGGTTTATCCCTATAAGTGTTAACAGTCTATAATTATCCCTTGGTGGGTTAACAGTATCTATATTTATAAGATTCTTACCCTTCCTTTACCCCTATGAGTGTTAACAATCTCTATATCTATAAGATTCTTACCCTGGGTTTATTCCTATAAGTGTTAACAGTCTATAATTTATCCCTTGGTGGGTTAACAGTATCTATATTTATAAGTTTCTTACCCTTCCTTTATCCCTATGAGTGTTAACAATCTCTATATCTACATAAGTTTCTTACCCTTCCTTTATCCCTATGAGTGTTAACAATCTCTATATCTACATAAGTTTCTTACCCTTCCTTTATCCCTATGAGTGTTAACACTCTCTATATTTATAAGTTTCTTACCCTTCCTTTATCCCTATGAGTGTTAACAATCTCTATATCTACATAAGTTTCTTACCCTTCCTTTATCCCTATGAGTGTTAACAATCTCTATATCTACATAAGTTTCTTACCCTTCCTTTATCCCTATGAGTGTTAACACTCTCTATATTTATAAGTTTCTTACCCTTCCTTTATCCCTATGAGTGTTAACAATCTCTATATCTACATAAGTTTCTTACCCCTTGTTTATACCTAAGAGTGTTAACACTCTCTATATTTATAAGTTTCTTAACTCCTGGTTTATCCCTATAAGTATTAACAGCCTATATTTATAAGTTTCTTACCCCTGGTTTATCCCTATGAGTGTTAACAGCCTCTATATTTAGGCTGATGAATTCTACTCTACAGCCATAAGCTACTGGCGTCAGCTTGATCACTGTGTGTAGAGGAACTCTTAAGTAGGGAAGATCTTCTGTAAAAAAAACCAGGTATTATTATATAGGTAAAGTAGAATTTCTCAAAGAAAAAATACATACATATATCTAAAAGTAAAAGCCTGGTAGCATATCATTTAATATTAAATGTATCAACTATTCACATTTTGAATTACAGGACTGTACTTCAAATGGCCGTAATCTTTCATCGTTGAACCATATTAGTGTTTGCAAAACAACCACTTTTGGTCTATGACATACACTTTATCTTTTATGATTTGGAAAACATTTTATGTTCTTCAATAAAAAAAAATCCAAGAAAACATTTCATACTCTAGATTAATGGACAAGCTATAAATTGGGTATAGAAGATTGATGTTTTGTGTAAAAATGCTTGTAGGTATACAGGCTAATCAGTGGAGTGCCATACAGATTATTCAAAAACACAGCATCAGGAACTACTAAAATACAAATTTCATTTTTTTTATGCAGGCAATCATATTCGAAGGGAAACCCCTGAATTTTAAATTGTCTATCAGACCATTTTCTAGGAAACAATTACAATTTTCTCTTTACCTTCATGTTCTAATTCATTATTTACAATATATTCTAAACCTTGACCTATTGACATCATACAACAATCCTGCCTGTGGTTAAGGGTGAAGACTGGTGGGTAGTCTTAAGGCCTAAGATTGTGTATTTTCAAATATTTTTCACCACAGGAAAAAGGTAGGTCAGGGAAGATAAAATTTTTACATAATGATAGTCTTAAGATCAGCACAGGACCTGCAGACATGCAACACAAAGCCTTTCGTTAATATTGTATGGCTTGGAAATTGAAAGTAAACATTGAATAAACCAAAACCTTTTTTTTTTTGCTAAAAAATCATTGATTAACTTACAATGACATGAACATTAACATTGCGATAGTAAAGCAATATAACTATTTTGGATTGTTTTTACAAAACTGGTAGCTTTAATATTAATCAAAAATTTATATCGGATATGGTCTTGAAGGTCCCTACTATGTATTGCATAATTGGTTACCTAAACTATACAAGAAAACCAGTAAAATATCGTTTCATCTCGGCCTGTAGTAAGTGTTCTACAACTAATCTTTCAGTATTTTTAACAGTTCCTTAACAACTATAAAAGAACTTATCATTAACTTTTGTAATAAAACATATGAAAATAGTGGAATTAACTATTTTTGGAGCGTAAAAAATTCTTTGGATGTTTTAAATAAATTATGTGCCTTTGATAGTCCTTTTCATTCTGTTGACAGTTTTGACTTTTCAACTCTTTACACTACACTTCCAGACAATCATATAAAACAAAAGTTTTCCTATTTAATTAAATGGTCGTTTGGTAAATCTGAATGCAAATATATTTGCTGCAACTCATTTAAAGCCTTCTTCTCTAATGAGAAAGGTAAATATGCTAGATATACTTACTGGAGGTGTGATGAGATGATTGAAGCTGTTATTTTTCTCCTTGATAATATTTAGGTACGTTTTGACAATTAAGTTTATCGACAGGTTGTAGGTATTCCTATGGGCACCAATTGCGCCCCTTTAATTGAGTGGTGGTTGTTATTTGTTGTTATTTGTTGCTATTTATCATATTTGTTTTTTGTTTATTGTTTTGTATAGTGTGTTCTTGTGTTGTATTGCTACACCACTGTCCCAGGTTAGGAGGAAGGTTGGCGCCATCTAACTAGTTTAATCCCGCCACATTCTGTAAGTGCCTGTCCCAAGTCAGGAGCCTGTTATTAGTGGTTGTCGTTTGTTGCTGTATATCATATTTGTTTTTCCTTCATTATTTTGTACATAAATCAGGCTGTTAGTTTTCTAGTTTGAATTGTTTTACATTTGTCATTTTGGGGCCTTTTATAGCTGACTATGTGGTATGGGTTTAACTCATTGTTGAAGGCCATACAGTGACCTATAGTTGTTAATTTCTGTGTCATTTGGTCTCTTGTGGAGAGTTGTCTTATTGGCAATCATATCACATCTTCTTAATTTTATATTGAAAGCCATGTACAGAGTCCTGAAAAAAGGAAAGATGTTTCAGCTTTCTGTAAAATGTCAGCTTGATCTTTTTAACACTTTGATTAAGCCCATTCTTTTGAAAGGGTGAAAAGCATGGGGATTTAGTAATAATGATAAATTAGAAAAGATTCATTTAATATTTATTAAAATACTTGAAATCTTCAACACCTAACACTTAAAAGGTGTACACGAACTAGGTCTTCATTTAATTGACATAGATATAATAAAGAGCTGCACCATGAGCACATGATATGCCTGTTGCCATTTTAGCTTGTCTTTATGCTTCAAATGAACTTATATGATCAACTATAAATATTGTGAGCACTGCTCAAATAGACACCCCCCACCCCCTAAAAAAAATAAATAAAAAAGACATGCACACACACTGTTTTTTTTGAAGGACTTAAATTCTATAACTGTCCAGAGTATGATAAAATGGGCAGTTTTCAACGATTTTTCAACAAATAATGTTCCATAACTCCACAATGTCATATCAGAAATTTATAAAAAAAAAAAAAAAAGGGAGCTTATTTCAATAGATATAAACAAGTCACTTAAGTTTCATGAAAACTGCTCAAAGCGTTTTTGAGTTATTGTCCGAAACCTGGAATACCCCCTGTTTTATTAGTCCCAATACTACAAAACATAAAATCAGAAATTTTAAAAAATCGAAAGGGAACTTATGTCACATACATAAACAATTCACCAAAGTTTCAGGAAAATTGCTCATAGCATTTTTTAGTTATAGTTAAACCAGAAAATCACCCATTTTTTATGAATAAAATCCCATTACTTGGAAATGTAAAATCTAAAATTTATAAAAATCAAAAGGGAGCTTACGTCAATAGATATCAACAATTCACCCAAGTCTCACGAAAAATTGGTGAAAGCCTTTTTGAGTTATTGTCCAAAGTGTTGATGACGAACCGACGGACACAGTATACCATATATGTCCCGTCTTTTAAGATGGGAATATAAAAACTTAAGCAGTATTATTTTGGGCAGATTTCATATCTATTAAACAAGCAAATTTTTCCTTTCTATTTTATTAACTTTGTCACCATAACATGCAGACTAAATGGATTCTGTTTGTACAAAAATTTCAAAATTGTGGTTTCACATATGTACAGGAAACGCAAAATAACAATAATAAAGTTTGGTAAAAATTGTTGTAAAGGAAAGATTGTTAGACCAGTTTCTTCAGAATTGGAATATGCTCATCCAAAGTTCATCAAAAGGTATTACTACAAAATTTGGAACACAAGGAAGATTTTAATATTTTGGACTTCAAAGATTGTTTTCTGTTGATTTCGAACCACAATAACAAATTGCCAAATCAAAACAAGAAGATGTCAATGTAATAAGAGAGAACCGATTTTGCTGCCTGTGTAACAATTGACAAACTGGAGACAAAATATTGTCATCATATATTTTAATGTAATTTTTTCAAAAGTAAAGATTATTTACCAACATTTTTTCTGAATTTATGTTGATTAAATGTTTTATGAAAACCAGTCCTAAAGAAGCTTTGTTCATTTATAAATTATATTAAAACTTGTGTTTGTCCTCCCGGCTAGTGACTTTTTAACACCTCTCCCTTGGTTTAGTTTATATTGTAATTAGTTATTATCATTGTTATCTCTGTACCAATGTTATGCATTGACTTTATAAGAATAAAGATGAATATGCAGAAACATTATTAACCAATGAATATAAAGCCAATTACAGTAAATAGTCCCTAAACATTATCTCAGAAGTGGGGATGAACAAGGGTTGGAGATGCAAGAGGTCTGCATCTTTCAGGGAAAAATATGTTTCTTTAGTGAATCTACTAGTTTTAACATCCCTTTTATTTAATAAAACAAAAAGTTCCTGGAACTTGTGTGGCCTCCCTTCCTCTTTTAGAAAACCTATATCTGCCATGGAGAATCTTAATATATATACATATGTACATCATACAAAAAGTCGTGGCATAAATAGAAAAGTTTAAACTTAATTGTTTTTTTGCATCAGAACTTCTGTAGACCTCCCCCTCCCTGTCACTTTTCACTCAATAATCTTGGATAATGCAAAAAGTAATCTACTGCTCTAATAAATGATTGAAATTGAATTTCTCTCATATCAACAGCTTCAAATTTGTGAAAAAATGAGTAGAATTTCTAAATATCAATTTTTATTTTACAGAAAATTACCAGGCATTAAAAATGATGCCAAAATTGTAAAATTAGAACATGAATTCATTTTTCATGAAAAAAAAAATTGAAAACAACTGCTCAACACAGATCTGTGGTAAGACGAATCTCAGACTTTTGGCAAAACAAGTTTGATGTAGATACAAAAAACAAACAAATAAAACTCCTGCATGATCTACAGATTCATTTCAAGTAGATGCTGAATATTGTAAAGCTTTCCACAAAGTTTGAATAGATACTAGAAAAAGTAAAAATTGTATTGGTCATTATATAAAGAATTAAGTAATTCTTTTTCACAGCATAAATAAATGAGAAAATCCTGTTGTGTGGTAAAAAGTAAGTTTTACTTTAATATCCACACAATACAAAGATGTGGACAAGACAAAGTTTCAACACATTTATTGGGGAATTATGATTTTTAAGATATGGCATGCCCTTAATTGAAGGTAAAGACATATGGCAGGGCTTAGACTGAGATTCAACATCATGACACACCCTTCAGTCAGGGACAATATTGTCATAAGTACCACTTGGAGTCTAGCAGTTAGTAAAATAATATACCTTTGATACACATCCGGGACAGGTAGACCAACAGAAGGTGCTTCCTGTATGGTACCCCAACCTTGTTTTCAGGAGGTATAACAAAGATCATTTAGCACTGGTATGTATTGTTACGTTGAATGTAACAATATAATGGGAAATGTACACCCTTCCCCATCGAATAATGACTTTTCATGTGACTTCAAAGCCAATTATATTGAAATTTAACATTTGTTAAAGTCTGAAAAAACATCC